AACGGGGAAGAAGGAGAAGAAAAAGAGAGGGGAAAGGAGAGGAGGAGAAAGGAAAGACAGGGAAAAAAGAAGAAGAGATTATACTCAATTATTACTCAGAACAGCGGAGGCTGATGAATAACCTATAGATTAGCATCATACTCAAGTATTACTCAGACACGGACGGCATGAAAATAAATAACTAGAGATACATCATATCTCAATTATTACTCAGAACGAGGCTGATAAATAACTAGATATACATTCATACTCAATTATTACTCAGACAGCGCGAGGCTGGATAAATAACTAGAGATACATCGATAGCTCCATTATTACTCCAGACACGAGGCTGATGAATAGCTAAGAGATACATCATACTCAATATTACTCAGCACATCGGAGGCTGATGAATAACTAGAGATATATTCATACTCAATGTATTACTCAGACATGGATGGTGATAAAATATACTATAGATACATCATACTCAATTATTACTCAAGACATGGAGGCTTGATAAAATACTATAGATACATCATACTCAATTATTAACTAGACATGGCAGCTGATAAATAACTATGATACATCATAACTAATTATTACTCAGACATTGGAAGCTGATAAATAACTATAGATACATCATACTCAATTATTACTCAGACATGGAGGCGATAAATATCTAATCAGATACTCATACTGCATTATTTAGCTCAGACACGGAGGCCTGATAAATAACTATATATAGGAGATACATCATACTCAATTATTACATCAGACACGAGGCTGATGAATAACATAGAGATACATGCATACTCCATTATGTACTCAGACACGGAGGCTGATGAATAACTAGAGATACATCATCTCTCTCTCCTCTCCCTTCTTCCTCCCCCCTCTTTTCCCCTCCTCCCTTCCTCTCGCCCTCTCTCTCCCTACTTCCTTTTCCCTTCCTCCCTCTCTCTCCTGTCTCCCTCCTCCCTCCCCCTCCTTTCTGCCCCTCCCTCCGTCTCTCTCCCCTCCTCCCTCCCTCCCTCTCACCTTCTTCATGTCTTCGTAGTAGATGAGAAGGACGTTGTCGTCATCCTTGTGCTCCCAGAAACTCAGTGAGTAATCCGCGAAAGGTCCGCTAAACACTGTCAACACATGATGGCAGTGACGTCAGCAAGACACGTCAATACGTCATACGAATAAGTGATATCGCAAAGTCCAGCTGTGTTATTTAGGCCATAGAAAAAGGGGGTATAAAATGGCCGAGGCGCGCTTAGGAAATCACGTGAACACTCGTGCGTTTTTAGTTTTTGCATTAACACAAACATTGCAAAATATCCCAAATGACCACAATCAATTTTGTAAATGTTTCTGTTAACAGAAACGCACCTGTGAATTGAAGTACGATGTTAGTGAAGATAATTATAGATAAAAAAACTTAGACTAGTCCTATGCTAACAATGTTATATATAGGCAACATATACACCCTCTTATCTGATTTCAATATGGCGGCAGGGACTTTCCGATATGGCTTATTGGTGAACGCAATAGCAGGGGACAGAGCTAGAGAGAGAGGAGGAGAGAAGAGAAACAGAGAGGGAGAAAGAGAGAAAGAGATAGAGAGATAGAGAGACAGGTAGAGAAAGAGAGCAAGAGAGAGAGACGGACAGAGACAGAGAAACAGACAGATAGATAAACAAACACACACATACGCACGCACGCACGCACGCACGCGCGCACACACACGTACCTTTTCCTTCTAGGAAGTTCTTCTGGTAGCCTTCCAGTCCTTCCTGCACACTGGGAGCCTCCTTCATGAAGTCTCGGATCATCTTGTAACATGACACGGCAGCATCCTTAGGATTCCTGGTGATCCAGATTATCTTTAAAAAAAACAATCGTGAGATGCGTGATATGTCACGATACGTCGTCTTGTGTCATGATACATCGTCTTGTGTCACGGTACGTCGTATTGTGTCACGGTACGTCGTGTTGTGTCAGGATAGGTCGTGTTGTGATACGTCGTGTTGTGTCACGATACGTCGTCTTGTGTCACGATACATCGTCTTGTGTCACGGTACGTCGTATTGTGTCACGGTACGTCGTGTTGTGTCACGATACGTCGTGTTGTGTCACGGTACGTCGTGTTGTGTCACGATACGTCGGGTTGTGTCTCGATATGTCGTGTTGTGTCACGATCCGTCATGTTCTGTCACGATCCGTCATGTTCTGTCACAATCCGTCGTGTTGTGTCACGATACGTCGTGTTGTGTCTCGATATGTCGTGTTGTGTCACGATACGTCGTGTTACAACATATCGTGACACAACATGACGTAAAGTGACACCAGACAACGTATCGTGACACAACACGACATATCGTGACACCACGATACGTCGTGTTGTGTCACGATAGGTCGTGTTGTGTCATGATGAGTCGTGATACGTCATGATAATACGTCATCACGCAGCATATTACGCGCGCGAGTGTCAGTGTGCGTGCGTATGTGTGTGCGTGCATGCGTATGAGCGTGCTTGAGTGTGCGTGCGAATGCGTGCGTTTGTGTATGCGTGTGAGTGTGTGTGTGTGTGTGTGCGTGCGTGCGTGCGTGCGTGCGCGTTTGCGTGCGCGTGTGTGTGTCCGTGTGTTTGTGTATGCGTGTGAGTGTGTGTGTGTGTGTGTGTGTGTGCGTGCGTGCGTGCGTGCGCGTTTGCGTGCGCGTGTGTGTGTCCGTGTGTTTGTGTATGCGTGTGAGTG